ACCCCATTTTGCTTCTGAATGACATGTATTTTTCATTCTCCTCTTCTGAGGAAAATTAGTGATTAATTCWACAAAGAGAACACCTCTGAACTTCAGTGGAACTATGCCAGTTTATACATGCACAAATGTTGATCTCTATCAAAGAATTCAGTATTTCAATTCAGTGATACAAAAAAAATCAAAACAGTATTATTGAGGCAGCAGGACCACGATGGAGAAACATATTCATGTCTCAAGAACTTGAATATACTAGTGTCCAGCTAAACAATAAAAAAAAAAAAAAGTGTGTTAGCTGTAAGACGCTGATACGACTACTATTCTCTGTATTTTTTCCACTGCACCATAGCAAAAGCATGAGCTTGGAATTGATGATGGTCAAAAGCATCAACTCCTCTTTTCCATGGCTTTCACCATTATTCCCACTGCAATATCACTTTAGATTCTCATAAACARACCAGGAGTCAGTGGTGCAGTACAAAACCAGAGCAGAAGGATAATCATTGTACAGAAAAGCTCAAGTGCTTTTGTATCTTGTAGTGGACAATACCTGTCACAGTTATCCTCGGGCCTCTGAACACTCTGGGAAGTGGCTGAGTCACCATCCCTGGAAGTATTTAAAYRGATGTGCAGATGTGGCACTTGGGGAAATGGTGGCGGGGGGAATGGTTGGACTCAATGACCTTAAGGGTATTTTCCAACCTCAATGATTCTCTGGTCCTAGTATTACTTCAGGCAAATTTATAAGCTCCAATAAGCACCAGCATCACCACATGCTGAGCTGAAAGAACTCTGCACTCTTTAAGATTCAACCACCAAATCACAATTAAATCAGCAAAGGAGAACCTATGGTAATATTAGGCAACATAGCAAGCTATTTATTGTCTTGCTGGCTCTACCTATTACAGGAAATATTAAAAGACTCCTTTACCTCCTTTATGTTGAGGCTGAAAAGTATCATCAAACCACTAATTCAAAGAAAAAAACCTGCAACACATTTCCCAATTTACTACTTCAGGAATATATTTACAGTCTCCTCTACATCTGCAGATGAGGCGTCTTTCTAAATTTATAATGCATTCACCAAAAAGCTCTCATGAAAGCATAATCCCTGCTCCCACATCCTCCACTTAAACATTACTCACACAAAAACTTCCTGCATCAAAGAGATAGAAAAAAGCACTTCCCAGCCAAGCCCCCCGGTCCGGCTGACGCATCATCAGACCACATCTCAACAAACATCATGCAGCATGAAAACTTGTGTTCACTTTTAAGAAAAGACCAAGATAAAGGATTTCAGATGAAAGGCATCATCAGACCCATTGATTTGATGTTCACCCAGACAATTTTGTTTTCAAAGCTAACACTTTCTCCTGATAATACACACAGGTATAAGCACCAATGTGGTCATAAACCAGGTCAAATATCTTCATAAGATACWGTTAAGATTTTAATTATTTGTGTCCTCAAGCCTGTAAGTGATGTCTGCCCTATCTGCCTTGGAAACCTGGACTTCACCCTTGCTTCTATCAYAAATTCAAAAACTGTCAGAGGCCCTTCAAATTGCTTTTGAAATATTTCTGTAAAACACCATTTTTCCAGACATCACAGACAGTATCAAAAATATCACAGACAACATAAAAAGTGATAGCTTGCAAACCACAGCAGAAAACCTACAGATCAATTACCTTGCTTCCAGKCAAAAAGCATTCATTTAAAACACAAAGAAACACCCACTCCAACATCAGCATATTTCTGTTGATTTTATGGAACACGAGAATTTCTCTCTATCTGCCATCATTTAAACCATGCACAAATGCAAGCTGGAAGTGACCTGTCTCTCTCTCTCTCAGTCCCTCTTGCAAAATAAGGTTGGTGTCAACTCCCTTCTAACATTGTAGAGGGGTATCAGCTACTTGCCTCAGCAAGTTTAAGTGTCACATATCTAATTAAACTCAGAAAACTCTTTCCTGTTTCTATCACAGACCCAAAGATTAACTGGTGTGGTTAAAAACCTGCACAGTTTTTACAGCTACAGCTCGGTCTAATAAACTCCAAGCTGTGTTTCAGTGATGCCCCATCGCCATCATGCCTTTTAGAACAACATGATAATGATATGCAAACACACCCCAGGCTTTCTCACAGGCRTCAGTGTGATGTACAGCAAGCAAACAGCCCACACTTGGATAAAAAGTAGTGTTTGCAGGGTGAAGAGGAGCTTCCCTGCTCAAGAGATTCCAAACAGCTTGTTTTCTTTATTTCTTTTGGCTGCTAAAATAACTTTGTGAAAATGGTTAACACAAAACCCTTTGAAAGATCCCAAAGATTAATTTCCAAAGATACTGTACTTACAACATCTACAGAAATACCATCTCCTTGCTGAGTTTATAATTATTTCATATGGTTACAGTTACAACAAYCACATCATACAGTTTTCTCTTTTTCACGTAATTTATTAAATTATCATCTCCTGAAGACCTTAATATCTTTAATGCTTCCACATCAAGAAAATAATATTTTCTTTGATGTAATTTTCAGCACAATCAAGTGAAGTAAAGTTACTACTTCTTTTATAACCATATTCCCTGCTTCCTGTGCCTGCTTCTGTTCCACAATGTAAAACATTCCCCACTGAAATCCTTCTGCTTATCTTGATACCTKTTTATAGAACTGTATGAGAAAGATTTCAGGACTCTGTGGCTTTGCCTAGGAGTCCTGCAACACCTTCCAGAGCAGCCTGAAAAACATCAGGCCTCTCCTCCTAAGAGTAGCTAGCACTCACCAGCAGAACTCTGTCCCTCCATGAAACCAAATGTCACCACTGAACTAAGGCTGCCTCCAGCAACAAGGAAGCCATTTATTCCACTCAGATAACAGGTAGTGTTCCTGCCTTCAGTTATGCYGAAAGAAAATCCAGAAACTGGGCATGCTATGAGAAGACTGAGCCTAAAYCCCTCTGTGCTATGCTGCCTGTGTCTGCCCTTGGTGCAGGGAACAATCAGCACTTAYCCATTTGGCTTTTACACTTCTAGCACTGAAGTACAGAATTAGACCCCAGACCTGTGACACTTCTTGGACAAGACATTCATGTATAAACAGAGCCACTGGATCTAAAMAAACCTGTAACCTAGGTTTTTCTCACTGTTTTCATAGAGGCACTCCTCAGGGCTRTTCTTTGAAAAAGAGTAAGACAAGCAGCACAAATTACTTTCCCCACCAGAGCAAGCTGTCTCACATCAGCAGACAGGTTTTCAGTATTTCTTTTTTCTTAATCAGCTTTTTCTAGATGTAACTCTATTTCCATCAAAATACTTCTAAAGAGTGTAAGTTTCTAATAAGTAGAATAAGTAGTAACTCATTCTATTATATTTTACTGTGTAAGCTTATTATTAATATTAGGTAAGGAAAAACTTACACAACTGAAGATATTTTTCATCATGTACTCTTTTTTCTTAGCTCAACTACAAGTATTTATCTCCCAATTGTCTTTTCATTAATTAATCACCATAGATTCTTCATGCTTTGCTCCTAGATGGTTATTGAATTTCTGGTAAACAATGCCTCAAGACATGCAGTTTACTATGTAAGATAAAGTAAGAAAAAAATGCTCATTATCTTTTCCATCTATTATRTAATACTTCTATATCTGTTTCATCAAAAGGGCCTTTTATGGCCTCTCCATGCTACTCAGCCATTTCAGGGGATTTGTRTTAACTTTCACTTGAACTTACTTGTTTTCTGATTTGATTTTCCTTCCTCAGAAATTCTTAATTTTTGCTGTCAACTCTAAGTATGAAAATGAAATTCACAGGATGTTTTTGATTTTATTTAGCTTAACTTCTATGTTTTTTTGCTGCTCATAATTGACCATTACAGCAATTCAGCTGCGGAGAGATTCAACAAAATTTTATTTTCCTCCAAAATAGAGAACAGTAAGGAAACAGGAAAACTATCTTTGCTTGTTATGGAATTGCACAAATAGTAAAAAATTAGTTTTACTACCACTCAACCCAAAATACGCTTCTTTCCCAAAGCTGATTTTAAAGCAACCTTTAGTCATTTTGTGTTTACAATGTGAAATAAGGTCCTTAGCCCTCTAGAGCAATCTTTGGACTTGTGGTCTCAAAGTATCCTAAACACTGGACATGATGGACTGGGACCTAAGGATATGCTGTCAGCGTTGTTACACTGTCAATTATGGTGCCAATACCAACAATCCATGGAAAGCCATTTGTCACTGGATTAAAGGAACCTCTTGCTTTACCACTCCCTCCACATTACATCAAGTTAAACAAAAACAAAACACTGATAGAGATGACAGATGGAATTAAGATTTCATCTCTGATCAAATTATAGATAAAAGATTGTTTTAGTTACCCTAATGCCTCATAATTAAACAGGTAACAAATGCTTGCCACAGAAATTGAAAGGCCATGTCTAAAAATGGCAAGACAAAAGCCAACCAGGATTTCACAGCTTTTGAACATGCTAAACACAAACTGCATTGTTTAGGAGAATGAATTTGTCTTTTGTTCACATTATTCACATCACTGAAACATTGCTTTTAAGAAATAAAGGAAACATYAGCAGTTACCTCGATTCAAAAGGCTTCCACCATGAGTACTTGCGAATGTTATGGGATGTGACAAGTTTCTATATTGCTCTCAGTGACTTTTACTGTAAAAAGACTAAAATTACAGGGTTTACTTGGGATATTATTTGCACTGCCTCTGGAAATAGTGTCTCAGTTGTCAATTATGATAAAATCTCTCCTGCCTTCTTGCTAGCTGCATTTTGCTGCGTGGAGAAACAAACCCAGTGCTATCACACTCACCAGCCGGGGAATTTATTAGCAAACCACTGGGCTCCTTCTGCCTCAGGATGTCTGTTGCCTGACTGCTATTTTTGCAATTTCAGACAACGGCTGTGACTGGAAAACTGTGAGGAAATGCAAAACGCCAATTCTGTTTCAAAGCATCATAAGAGAAACTGCTGATACTCACCAAACTATTCCCTGAGCCCCAGAGCCAATAGGTTTCAAGTTCTGGTAGCGTTTGAGAACTGTGAAGGTCGAGTCACCTACTTCCACGCTGTAGAACTGGTTGTCAACTTTGCTTTTGCTCATGTTGTAATGTTTGGCAATATATGACACATCCACTTGTTTCCCAAATCCCTGTTGTACAGAAGAAGGGAAGGGGAGAGAGATTGGTAAAAACAGAGGAAACAAGTAAACCAAGTAAAACACATGAATACTGATAAGGCACTGTCAGACTAATTTTTCAATATAAATTCTTGTCATTTTTTGGCTCATTTTCATGAAGATTGTATCAAACCTTCTTTCATGCAGGAAGTTACCATAAAAAGCCACCGATTAAAGWAAAATGGGGAATTCTCCAGCTGCTGTTTGTGACACAGTTACTAYTGACTGCTGGTCTCTGCTTGCCATCATTTCTGCTTCATGACTACTGGCTTATGTGTTCATGCTCATTCTGCCCTCGTTTGTACTGCAAGGAAYACCTTACTTTAAAACAAGGTGACTTTCATCAGTGTGGAAGTGGGACAAGAGACCAGGAATCAGGCTCTTCATCACGGATCAGACAGAGCAAGCAAACTATTCCTCTGAGTGCTAAAACCTTCCCTGAGCACATGATAAAGGCCTTGAGAACTTTCCAGCAGGAGTTGCAAAGGAAACAGAGCAGTTTAAGAGCCAGCCTGTGATCCAACACGGCTCTGTGTCATGGGCATTTATTCAGAAGCTCTGGAGGCTCCTTAGGATAAGAGAGTTACTCTCATGACATAACAAAATACATTYGTACTAAGCAAGCATCCATTTTCATGACACAAAAATAAGTTTGTGCTTGCACTGTAGCTAGCGCTGCACAGCAGTGCTYCTCCCCAAAACTGTAAAATTAAAAACTATTAATTTTTAYAAAATTAAAAAAAAMMCCTCCCCCCAGTATTTAAAATTACTGTGCAGAAAGTTACATTATAACGACTTTGTGACTACCACTGAGCTCAGTTCCCTTAGGACTAMAGAGCAAATTTAAAGTAATTTGAGATAAAAATCAGAATTAATTGCTTGTAGTTTAGGATTCCATACTACATGATGCTGAGCATAGGATGCAAAAACTCAACATATTACAACAGATCTGTCCTCAAAGATTTGCAATTCAGTTATGGAGGTTAACACATGCCCAAAGKACTTCTACAAGGAAAGCAAAAAACCAACAATGCCTCCATCTGTACATTTTTTTTCAGTGCTCCCAAACACAGATTCTAAATTTTCTTATTTGCTGTATTATAAATTTCCTTCTCCCCAAAAGGTCTGAGAAATCAACCATGTTATGTGTTTATAGACTACTATATAGAAATTTGATGGAGCTGGGAAAAATTTAGAGTTGATTTTGGTTATATTACTCTTTCAACTGAAAAAGACATTCCAGTGTTCAAAAAATCTGGCCAYTAAAAACAGAGCACTGGAATTCTTGCTGAGAACTTGGATTCTCACTTTTGCCTTAGAAAAATTGTAAATTTTTTTTCTGTCCATTATCTGACTGGAAGGCCCTTTGGCACTGGAAAGCCTCATCCTAAATATCTCATTTAGAAACTTTGAAACATTTCAATAAATATAGCTCTTCATTCAAAGAACAAGTCTCTTCTCAGAAGACCAAATGGAAACTTTAAATTTACTTGTTCATCAAACATTGTGAGGGCAAGGGCAGGGGAGGCCTTGCCCTAACACAGAAAGTGAAGCTTCCAGAGAGTGAAATGATTCCAAAAGAGGTTTGAATTTTTCTCAYTGAAAGACAGACTGCATCCAATTCACACGGGTAGCCTTAGTCTTAAAACTTCTTCCATTTGGTGAAGARAGATGCATAAATTTTGCCATTCAGTTCAGGTATTCATACCAGACCTGGAATTGAGAGGTTTTTTGGGTTCTTTTAATAACATACTCCTGATTGACAGGAATTTCAYAGCCCCCTCTGGTTTGACAAACACATTTGGAGCGTGTTTTTTTCTGATGTCATTATCAGAACAATGCAGGACATATTCAGCATTAACACCCATTACTCTGAAACCAACATTTATATACAAAGTGTCAGCATAAAAATTGCATTACTGAGTGAGCCTGACTCATAGCCAGCTCCTCTGGAAGTACAGAGAGAGTGAATTTTTTAAACAAATTGGATGACTGTGTTAGGGCTTGGATGAGCCAGGCCTGCCTCAATTTATTTGTGTCCTCAGTTCCCAGATACCTGACAGCTCGTTGTGTGGTATGGAGCTACATGGGAACACATATTTTATCAGTCTGTGTTCAGAATCCAAATTACTTGCTTTTAAGTTAGSCCAACCATGTGAACTACCAGCCTCRGGAAACTTGTGCTGCATACAGCRGGATTTCTGAACTACTGCAGTTCCAGCAGCTGGTCATTTTAAATCCAGAAATGTCTCAAAAATCAATTAAAACAGCTCAGAAGAACCACTCTGTAGTACCTCATTTACATGGGTAATTAATTAATAACCAATTGCTTCAGTCAACAGCAATGAAAGCCATGGGATCCAGAAGACCACAACTGGTAAGAAAACAGAAATGCCCCGATAAACAGCTCTCCTCTGCACAACAYAGGCCATTCCTATGTCAATCTGCTCCTAACTGTGTGTGAATGGGAAAGGTGAAAACTGTTTTGTTTTTCATGGAATCTCTTTTYCTTTTCAGATTAGTATTTTTCCACCTACTTAAAAATCTGTGCYCCATAAGGTCTTTGATAGAAAGCAAACACCAAGCATTACTTCTAAAATTCAAGRCAGGCTGATTTGAAGTTCATTTCAAGCAGAATGCCTCCTCTGAGTGACAAACRCTTCAGCTTTGTGGACATGACAGTCTCCAGGTCATCCACTAAATTGCTTCCTCACTTTAAAATCACACTGCTAAAAAACTACCCAAAAACCCCTACTCTCTATTTTCCATTTTTTACCAAAGYCYAAACAAGCAGAACAAAWGCATAGTATGGCTACTGTTTAAGCCCAATGTATTGCTTACTTTCATAACAACCAGGAGAAGAGTGATATAACTAACCTTGTCATTATGCTGACTTAAATYAAATCCCTAAATCAACAAATTAACAGTATTATTGGATTAATCACAYTTGATTAGATCCCTAAACCGAGATGACACATAATCACGAACCATCTCTGATTGAATCAACAATCACTTCCAAACGAGAACAAGGAMACAGCAGTTTTGTTCCACTCCAAAATTAAGGTAAAAAACCTTTTCCCATTGGCAAGGAAATTCATACTCTCTATAGAGCGTGTCAATGTTGGTTTTMGTTTCAAACCCTGATGTAAAGATTCTTCTTCAAATCTTCAGATTCACATAGCACATCTTAAAGAAGCACTCACACTGGATTCTGGTCTCGTTCTGTTACATCCCCAGTGCTCTCTCAAACCTCTTCCAGAAGCCTTGGTGTGGTTGCAGCTATTAACACTTCCCCAGCTGCCCCATATGCACCACTACACCRTTTCAGATTCAGGTGTTAATGCTTAATGCCTACAACTTCTGTACAAGCAGCTGAAGTTAAAGCTTTGATTATGTGGCATCAGAAAGGAACCAAGGCCTAGGAATTCCCAGTATACACCCTTCTGTACATGCATCCAACCATAAACTTCTCTCAAATGCAATTAAGACTGACATTGTAAAAAAAATAGGAATTAGCATTTCATTAAGAAATAGACAGGGGAAGGAAGTTTACAGATACACATGACAATCAGGTTTGCTTTCTAGGATATCATAGTAGAAGTGTATAGGTCTCCTACAGGAAAGTGAATTCCAGTGAGTTAAAAAATTTTCAGGTGAACTTCAAATGAATTTAGGCAAGCTACGAAACTGAAGCCCCAGAATAACATTGCAGGCGTGAAACTTGGAACAAAACACATCTAAGTTTCTCAGACCTCTGTGTAAAATGAAAGATTATTCCTCAGAGACAAAGTAGGCACTGAGGTGCCATTTTTTCTTTGTTTCCATAAACATTTGGACATGAAATTACATTACTTCAGCACTGATAGGAACTTAATTTTCATTTCATATGTACAAAAATGTATAGGCCATTATTTCCTATTTTCAGTACCAAATTGAAAACTTCTAACACACACACATCCCCCAATGCCGTTTTCTTTCCTCCATACTGAGAAATTTAAGAATAAGAAAAGTTTCTCAGCCATGAAAACCTAACYATCCTTGTTGGCTCACTTAAGCACATAGCCACATTTGTAATGATATTTGCTTAGTATCCTGACAAGTGAGAAAGAGAAAAGAAAATAAACTGTCAAGACTCAAGCATTTGAGATGAAGGAAAAAAAAATATACTCTCACCATTACTGTTTAGAGAGCCTATATTTTGCTTTCAAAGGACAAGTATTTAAAAATTCAGTGAAACTCAAATAACTTACTGCCTCACACAGAGCTACAAACTGTATTATTTTCCCTTCTTTCAGAGTACAGAGAGCAACAGAGTTAAAAACCCAACAGAAATAAAATGATGTTATTTTCTGCATTATGAGGTGAATTACTTCCTGATATTCCATTTTATTTGTCCATTTCTATCCTACAAAATAACTATACTTATTATATTTCACTGTCAAACCTTTGTTTCTGAACARCATTCTTTCTATTATGGATGAGCCTAAAATATGGCAATTTCTTACAGCTCAGCATYTCATACATTTAAACTTTTATAGATACAAACCATGCTAGCAGCAATTTAAGGCAAATTGCTCTCCCTTGCATCTCCAAGGCAGTGAGTGCTGTCACAGAATCCATTGGCAGCCTCAGCACAGGGAAGATTTTCCCCCGTGTTTGAATCCTTCCCTGTCTGCCCACAGAAACCCCAGAAGGAGCATCCTTTCGAGGGAGCTGAAATAAATTAAAGGACTCCACACRTGTGCAAATGCTGGTGAGCAAAAGAATCTGGTGGAAGACTGAAAGGCTGACTCTCAACTTGGCACAGAGCACAGAGGTGAGCAGGATGGAGCAGAGAGGATGCTCTGAACCAGCTATCACGATGGCTCCCCAGCGGCCCCCAAATCTCCACCCCTCCTCAGACAAAGAGACTGATGTGGACAACTGCACATGTGAGAGGTGGATGCCTTTGGTTCCCTCAGGATCCAAAAGGATAATATCTTAAAGCTACAATTTAACCTTAAAAGTCAAATGCTGARATGGTACACATTGAAATTCACAAGAATGGTAAAACCTTCAGYCTCCTTGCCAGCTCTGAAAATGTACAGAGGCAAGCCCTGCTCACCTGGGTGCATCTGCTAAGTCAACATCAYTATTCATTTAATGGCTGTCCTCCCACTTGTACAGCTGTAATTCTCACACAAGTTTCAAACGCCAGAATTTGGGGATGAACATGCATTTACTGAGCCCTCTGCTTTGAATTTAATGATCACAGGTTTTGCTGGGTAAATTTGAATGGCCACAGAAGATGTCAGCTGGGAAATAGAGAGTATGTTTGMACAGAAAGAGCTATTAAATTATTTTAAATTGTGTATTCCCTATATGCCACATTTATGGCAGAAATTATTTCAATTTTTCTCATCATAAAGGTAGACTTCTCCCTTATTCTGGCTCTCTTTCAACTCAAAAGTCCATAGATCAAATCTCCTTCAAGGGGTTTCATCTTGTGTGTGTGTGGTTGAATGTAATATTACAGAGTTTGGTCTTACCAGCCACATCACACCACAGCTCTCCATTCTTCCCCCTCATTCTCATCCTGTAAGGCCTGTATTAGTCACTCAGTCTTCCTGATTTTGGTGTGCTTTGAGTGGGATTTAAAAGCTAATTTTAACCGTTCTTTTAGACTATTATGAGCAGGATTAAAAAGCTAATTTTCGGCCTTCTTTTAATCCTTCTCCAGCTGTCTTGCCCTAGCCCCCAGATAGCAGGCTTTATGCATTTAGCCTTTCAAGTAGACAACTGACCCCTGMAAACAACTCAGCCTTGATTGATCAGTCATTGATCTTTTAACATTTGCTTCATTCACTCTATTTCAACACATCATATCAAAACATCTTATTAAATGGAGTACAATATTTCTAAGTGCTGGTTGGGTATTTTTTGGTTAGGTTGGGGCTTTTTCRTTGTTGTGCGTTTTTGTTTGTTTAAACAATTTCATTTAACTTTTTCTGAGATAGCAAAAACACATCAGCTTGCCTAGCTCTTACCTAGTTCTGATTACACACAAAGCAGCAATTCTGCCTTCTTCTTTTCCCTTGCATCTACTCAAAAAAATGAAGCAAAGCACTGTTTTACTTCTTCTTCTCTTGTCCTCCATATGTTCACTGAGCTCTAACTATTTTTAATTCTTTCTTTCTTACAGGCACTAGATTTTCATAGCCCAGTTACAGCTGTGGAGTCATGTATGGCTCAGAAGCCCCTGTGTCCCAAAGGTGTGTCCTTTAAACCCAGACAGAGTTCTAAMAGATGAGCAATGTGTGAGTATCTGCACAACAGAACAATTACTTCCAGTATTCCTCATTCCTGATGCCTAAAGAGCTCAATGCTGATGCACARGTGACATCCAGCCCTGGTCGTTGTACCAAAGAAGGCTGAAAGGACTGACTGAGAAAACGATAAGTTCTGAGAAACTGAAAGAAAAGGTTTCTTGAGACTGAGGTTTCTTTATGGAGAGGAACTAAATCAGTGATCTAAATGCAAAATGTAGCCAAAAATACATGACAGAAAGCAGATTTCTAAGTAGAACTATATAATTACAGTATTTGATTTGAAGACAATAGCTAATTAATAGATTCTCCTTTTTATAAAAGCTATATGGAGCTGAATAATTACACATTTWGCTGGAAATAGATGGCTCTTCACCCTATGCAGTATCATTTTACTCACAGGAATCTAATATATCACTTGTTGATAGCGTATGAATACCAACTAATCTCCCATTGGATAGAAGGCATAATCATAGGACACACTACATTTAGAACTGTATTTTAAATAAAGGTATCCCATACAGATATAGCTTAGGAAACATGCAAATTCTGACAGGCTATACACATCTCGATATTGATTAATAAAAAGATACTGAAAGATTAAATGGCAAAAAATATGCACAAAGAAGCCAGTATCCTTTAGGCACTGTAGATACTATTAATATATTAGCATTAAAATTTAACATCCTAGTCTACTCCCAATACATTATTCTGCATTACCTTGTGCTTTGATAAAAATGTTTAGAGTCCTACAGATTAAAGYTTGTTGGTGATACCAGCCTTACAAAAATCTAATGAAATTCAATAGACCTTCTTATCCTACTTTCCTATTATGATAGAAAAGCAGATGTCCTTTCCCTCAGCCTTAAAAAAGATAAAATTCAAGTTTCAGAACATGAATTGACTACCAATGTCCATTAATTCCAGACGCAGGTGTTTCTATACTGCAAACAGGGTGAGGGGGTGGGGAGGCATACATTTACCCCTGCTACTGAGCGTTTCTCAGGAAGGGCCTTTCCTTTTTTCCTTAATTGGAAAACCTTAAAATTCTATTCCTGCTGAATTAGCATTTCACAAAACCCATGTGTGCTCATTGACATAGGCTCCATGTCAAGAGAAAGTGCCTGTAATTTGTACRTGTCACTTTCCTTTAGAGAACGCAAAACCATGCCTTTTAGGCYACAAATATATATTACAAGATAAACACACACCCAGTACTAAAAATAATTGAAGTACTCTTCAATATTGYAGCTTTATGGAAGGCACTTCAGCAYCAACTCTTTGTAGAAAGTGTGCAGTGATGCACAAATTTCAAATGGAAGCAGGAATGAGAATGGAATAAACAATTTTACTACCTGGACACTATTCTTAATCTCTAAATAAAGATCTGTATGTCAGACCAAGTGCTACCAGGACAGAGATATAACCTCCATCCCAGCCTAAGCAGGAGAAGTGAACAGCATCCAAGACAGGTCTTAATGCAAACAGACACTTAATTTAGAGACTGTTCTTGCATGTAATTCTAGCTGTTATTTGGTTCAAGGCCTATCTTTATGGAGAGAATAAATTAAAGAGAAGCTTAAACCAGCTTTTATCCTCAAGAGAATCAATCTGAAGATCTGAAGACCTTTAAAAAGTATCGGTGTGACAAGGGCTTGAAGGATGGAATTCTGTTCCCTACAATGTCAGGATAGTATCTCAGGATGACTCCTCTCTGGGTRCCTGCTGCAGCCATTAAATAGGAATAAATCTCACTCAGTGATAAAAATGCATCCAAAATGGTCCTAGTGGAACGGAGAGGAAAGGCAACAGGAGAGCCATTCCTCTATTCTGCACAGTGAAAGTAATTTTTCAACAATAACACTTTTCTCATGCAATCTGAAAAAAACCCCTTTTTTTTTGCAATTTATTTTCTTTTTGGAAGTGACTGTCAAAACCTTACAAAAATACTACGTTTGACAAAGTTGCAGTGGAAGAATGAAGCCAGTTAAACGGATACACATGAAGAAGGGAGATAAAAAAGAAGACAGGTAAGCAGATTATCAAACTGAATAGCCAAGACCCATCCTAGGGCTGATGGTTCCAAAGTTCAGATTCAATCTTCTCAGCAGAAAAAATATTTAGTATTCCTGAGTTGAAAAAAATAAAGTAAATCTTCCAACACCTGTTTCATGTAAAATACTTACACACAATTAATAATCCTTTTTTTACAGCTGCACTTTCCCTTACTTAGACCCCATATGTAATATAAAAGAAAAATAGTGTTTATCATAAGTTCATTTCTAAGTATGAAGCATAGCTTTTCAGCCTCAAAGAATGTCTCTAATATCTCCTCAGTTAGTTAGATTACCAGTGTCCCATCTCACAAAAAAACTTAAAACCCTGAAGAGACAGAATTCAAGCACAAAGCACTGTTTAAAAGGGAGAACAAGTAGTCATCTTTCATTCACAAGGGAGAATTATACACACAGGTTGCAATTATATTAAATATATATATGTTAACAAATTTAACCCAGAGAACCGAAAACTGGACAAATCAATAAGCCTTGTCTTTACATCACAGGTTTAGTTTCAGCCATGTGGACTTTCACACATTGTGATTAAACAATCTCAAGGATGATGCAGAAATACAGGACTGGCTTTGGTGCAGTCTCACAGCCCCAAGAACCTGCATAGCACACAGTGTTCAATCAGATGCAAGACAAACATCACAACTTTAATTACTCTTCCTTCACTTCCAGTAAAGGTAAACAGAATATTATAGTCACAGGCTACAACATAAAAGGTTCAGCCTCAGGAAAACAGAGACTAAGATAAAATTAGTTTTAATYGGCATTTTTTCTGTTTGAAAATAGTGCCACTATATTTCTTCACTAAATAACACCACAGAATACTAACTGATATTTTAGCAAAACAAAATCAAAAATCATTAAGATTAAATGACAAAATAAACTTGAGAGCAAATAGAAAAGTAATTTTTTGTGATGCAATTCTCTATTTTTTTGCATTTATTCTCATTTTTACTTGTGGCAAGCTGCTGAAACTAATTTCTATTTTTCTCTTATTATAGCATATATTGCAAAAATGAAGTACAAGTATATACTGTACCTTGTTTTACCTGTAAGGAACACACACCTGACAAAAGGCAATCTTCACATCCAGAGTAGGTTCACCACAATAATACAAGAAATGGCGGCTCATAAATACCTGCAATTAAAGAAAAGTAGACATAGCAATCCTTTCTGGCTGCTGATGTGCAAGCATGATTCAGCTCTAGCTACATTTGGATTCTAAAACCATCCTGAGTTGTTACCCAGCTTTTGGAAAACAGAAATGTTGTAACACTGAACTGTAAAAAAGCTTTAAATTCTTTCCAATGCTTGTCAAGGTTATGGCCTCAAATATTACTTGGTTATATCTGCAAAGTTTTATAGTAATTGATGCCATTTCTTCAAAGTTGATCATGTCACTTGCATATTCCTACACCAACCAAAAAAAAAAATCAGGTCAATAATGTTCTAAACAATGTGGGAGTAGGAGACATTACTATGGGGAGGAAAGAAACAAGTCCTAAGATGATAAGTATTATGAAATTTATAGAAACGGAAAGAATAATTATGTGACTGTAAAAATTMATGGCACAACCACTTTATGAATATCACATTCTGTTCTGGATCTGTTCCTAACGTTCTACCACTAAAAAAGCTACAGAAAAGGGCATTTAAGCAGGGTGCAAAGCACACAGAGATTCTTTACATGAAACAACTGCACAGGCTGGGAATATACTTTTAGCCTAGAAAGGAACTGTAGGAGTGCAAATATGCTGGAGATCCATAAAACAAGTGGCATACTGAAAAATTATTTTCCTTTTTTTTTAATGAAAGAAAAAAGTGGCACCTAATTATGTCATTAGAGTTAAAATCAACAATAGGAGAGAAATCTTCATACACTGTTTTGTCACTGTGAGACTCCCTGTCTCATGCTGGTGTGGAAGCCAGAAGTCAACACAAGCACTAACATGATTAGGCAAATTCACACAAGAAGAAATCTGCTGAAGGCTATTAACCTCGAAAATGTCACCCCTGACTCAAGACAACCCTGAGTCACCGTYTGCCACTGCGTGCTCAGCCTGTTTCTGGATTTCACAGGCATCTGATACTGGCCCAGGGAGCCATAGGCTAGGCTAGACAGGCCTCCTTGTGCACCCTATTACAGCTGTTTTACCTTAATTCCATATTCCCACATTCAGCTCTGACTAACCAGTCCTGTCCTGGCTACATTCTAGCATGGTACAGCAAGGCAAAAAAACGCACAGCAATGTCATCAGGCTGAGATAGGGAGCAATGTCACAAGACTTTGGAGCACATCAATTTTTCTGCATGACTCCAAAAACAAAAATACCACCCAATCATCACTCCATAAAGTTATGGTTCTGAAACACTATACAGCTACTTACGACACTTGTCTCCAGTAGGAACAATCAACTAACTTCAAATTAAAATGGCACTAAGTAAGATTTAATTTGAAGTAACTTCAACTCACACCAGCTGATGAGGAGTAAAGAAACTACAAGAAAGTATTTACCAATACTTGCCAACTTCAATGCATCATGTGCTCCCACATGTGTTTAATTTTTAATGAATGAATGTATGAATAATCCTGTTATGAAAGCAAGTTTATGACCTTTTTTGCATCATGTTACAGTTTCTGAAATTGCTGTCTCATTGTCCAGTGAGTCATTACCTCATTACCAGAGAGTCTCACATTCCACAGAGGGTTTATAATAATTTATATTTAAAAAAAAAGAAAATAGGAAGCTTTTATTTTTCTTTAAAAAAAAAAGCTTTTAACATTAGTCATATTGCCAATGAYTTCTGGAAAGCCAGCAGTAATTACACTGTCATGCTGCAGATATATACACTGGCTGTATGCAATATATTACTATAATAATCAATGACTGTCATGCCAATAGCCATGACATAYCACATCCAAGACAGGGCCTAATCATGGAAAGTGAAGAAAGGAAGGGAAAAAAATGGGGGCAATTTGGTTTCTCCCTGAATTTGCTGTAAGGGTCTGTTGAGAAGACACACTTTATATTAAATATGTGTTACTGGTCATACACAACTCCTCAGCTGTCCACAGCAATTACTGTAACTGTTAATGGCAGAACCCATGGCAGAACAAAAGGTGAATTTTATAAACTGGAATACACGTTAGAATTTATTATGTTGTCTTTGTGTGTAGTTAGTGTTTATAAAATAATAGAAGTATGATATGTTTTAATGGCCTAGATCAATACTCATATTCCTCTGTGTGTGAGATACACCGAATAAATCACTACGGAGCTGAGTCGCTCCAGTTGTACAACAGGAATGAATGRCACCTTTCCATGGCACAGAAAGGTGTACCCAGGACAAAGCAGACCTGGGTTCATGTTTTACACGGTGTTTATTGAATTCTTATAAGGTTCCCTTCAGTGCCCTGTAAGTAATCACACATGTATGTAACTCCTCATTCCTTCATGCAGAAAATACATTCACACTCAGCCGCGCAGATCTCCTTGATCACGTCTCCTCTGGTGCGAGCTGACACCACATCACTAGAGAWGTTTAAGAAGTGTCAGAAAAAAGAACTGGCCTGATGCTGAGATAATTGTGTTACAACATAAAGCAGTTATAAAACAAGAAGCTACTGAGACAAACTGGCATCACTCACCAGGGATTGGAGCTTTACGTGAGAGCATAAGCATCCAATATTTCTTTGCCCMGCTTCTGACACTTTACCTTTTCAATCTTGAGTGAAATCACCCAAGGGGGGAAGAATTGGGACAACGGAACAGCGCTGATAGAATAAAACACTCTGTGAAGACAGAGACTGCAGTAGCATCACAGGGAGAAAATCTGTYTGTGRAACACCAACATCRCAATCMTATCTCAAATCTTCATCATAAGCAAGGCATCTGTATGCAGCCCATAAAAATAATCAAGATTCAGCAGCAAACACATGATCTACTTTCAGGCAAAACAAAGCTAGGAGGCACTCAAATTAGGAGGAGGAAAGTACACATGGAGGCAAGACAAAGAAAACCCTGAAAATCCTCTGAACTGTCCAGTAGCACAGCCCCCAAGGGAACTGCTGCCTGGAACTCAGAAGTCACCACTGAGGTTGGCTCTACCTACCCTACCTGCTTTGCCATCCTCTTCTTCACTCCACTCCTCCTCCCTTATAGAAAGCTATTCTTCAAAACAGAATGTGGACTAAAGATATGCCCCAATTTCAGGCAGGAACTTCTCTTTACCTRCAGTACTGCTATCAAATCTGCTTTTCTGGGCAACAACTTTTTACTTTTAATAATGGTTATCTGTCTCTCCAGGGGTCAGGAGGATTGCTTCATTATTATTCAAACAGCTCTTTGAAGACTGAAAGGATTAAATCAATACTATTAGTATAATTACTGAGAGCAGAGAAGAAACCACGCAATGAGAGCAGTTAGAYTAGAAAACCAACAGTAGCTGTAGCTCTCAAATATAGCCTCCCTCAGTAAATCTGTCTGCTCCTCCTTGAATTCTTTCCTTACTCTAATGCTGTATGATATTAGTACCCAGGGAATGTCTGGGCAATTTGSCCCAGTCAGATTAAAACACTTGGCCCAGGGAACCTCGTTTTTTACCCAGGTTGCACTATCATTCATCTAATGTTCCCATCATGCATTTGGGTTGTAATGGGTACAGTGAATGTGCTCCCTATTTTCACCGACATGTAGTTCTCGACTTGTGCTAAAAAAGGAGAATGAAAGTATTTATTACTGCCTCATTAATTATTTCATTCATGAACATAAAGATTCAGAGCAGGAAAAAAATTAATGAAATAGCACCATCACTTAAATTTATTTTAAAAAAAGAACCATCCCGTTTCAATGAGAGGGGGCAATTGATCAATTCAGTTGTCACTTAAAAACCTTCTTGTAAAACACTAATGTTCAAAGATTAACATTTATGAATTATTAATGCTTCCTGTTTTGAAAATATGCTTGAATAATTTCACACATTTCCAGTACTGGAGTTCCTTTCTCCTTCTGAAAACACATACTCTGACTGCAGTATCTTGTAAGTTCTCTGAAGATTCTAGTAAKGTTCTCACTCCTGTAACTATATTTTTTCTTTACTGAAACATGGCTATTCTGCTCTGTGTAAACAGCAAGAATAATGTAGGAAATAATGAAGACCTGACCAAATTCACACAGCATGGCAAAGTGTACCAGCAGAGAATGGTAAACTCCTACAGAATTCCAAATGTGGGCTCTGTCATCTTTAACAAGCTGGATCRAGAAAGAAGACCTGCAATTTGCCCACATTTTTCATATAATTGCTGCCAGTTATAATAGGGATACATATGTTCCACTATCCCATCAAATTGGTCTTCACTGCAGAGAGCAGATCTTCAGGCATATCAGCAAGTTTGAAGTAACCTTTTTTCTTTCAGATCTGWTGTACAGCAACTGCAACAGGAGACCCACTGCTCAACAAGAAGCTTCAAGTCTGACAATAAATATGAACCAAAATTTGCAAGTGGATTAATAATAGTCAAGGAGAGTATTTCTACTGCAAAAGAGTGCTTTCCTGTTGTGTCTATGCTCCCATTTTAATTATTCTTGGAATAACCATGGAAAGCAGCAGTGTGAACAATGTCATTATTAAGGTTAAATCCCAGCAGAAACAGATCATCTTCCACTGGGATGAGAAGTGATGGCATGTTAAAATTCACAGGAATCATGCAAGTGGCTCTAAAACTGAGCTGTTGGAAGGTAAAAGAGAATGAAAGGAAATGAAACAATTTAGGAATAGCACTGAAAAGGAAATAGATACTAAACAAAAAAAAAAAAGAACAAATGAATTGAAAAGACAAGGGACTAATCAGCAGATTTGCCTAACAATCACAGCTCACATGCAGAAGACAGGAATAAATGAGCTCTAAGTCTGGTCTTGCTACCAACTTCYGTTTTCTCCAGCCAGTTGTTAAGAGTCAGAATTCCACACCTGACAATATTGGTCTAAATGCCTACATTATAAYARTCCGAGATACCATATCCAGAGGTAWTACTTACTGTTATGAACAGGTATTATCAGGAAAAGAGCCTACTCCTGCAAGATGCTGCAGCAGATTAATTAGTCAAAGTTTATGATGAGCTTGTCAGAA